AGTCTACATGCACCAGTGCATGCCACTTTTTTGGGGGTAAATCGAGCCCTGCCGCATTTACTTTTTTGTGGCTTTCTATTTTGGGAGGAAGGAGTCCCAATTTCAAATCCAAGCACATATTCCCCTCCCCCCAAAAAAAACCCCCTGTAATCCGTCAACCTCCTGTGTTATCACACGCCTATCAGTAGAAGCAAGAGCAAGACATTAGTCCTGACTGTACCTTGTGCGGCTGAGCCACCAGCCTGTCTCCTTGCAAGAGGGTGGCATCAAAGACGCTGTCATTGATGTAGCTGCTCTGGGAGCAGGTCTGGCTGAAGTCACTGGGTCCTGAACTCATATCCCCACTCCTGCCATGGTCATCATCCTCATCATCAACCTGTGGTGGCATTGAGTCAAGCATACATCTGTGTCTAAAATGTCTGCATTATTTGTTAAACGTATCTCTTCTGACAGCAAAATCGGTGGAGAAATGTAAGGAAAAACGTATGAAAGCCTTCTCCTCGAGATAATAGAGGCGCTCATGGCTTCGCCACTCACACCGGGATTTTTTCACGTTACCACTATACTTGTATCCGGGTTGCCATGCTCGCCTTGATTGAAGGCTAGTTGTGACCATGACAACAGCAATAATAGAAAGTGGCTGCCTCACCCCCGTGTCCGGACAGAAGTTGGCACAGTCATTGGCGTTGTTGTAGTCATAGCTGCCGATGCCATCGTCCATGCTGTCATTGTTACTGACTTGCCTCCTGACCTGCATGTCGCAGAAAGATGTCCATACAACTATTTCTTTTAACTTTAATACAACGGTGCTCAACAAGTTTTTAGTTAAAACTTGGTGGGGACTGAAGAAAATTTTGAAACAGGTGAGAGCGGAGCAAAGCCTTCCAAGTACGCATACCAAGGACCTAATACCCACTTGAAGACCTTCCGATTTATTTTTATCAGGTCTTGTGCATTTTGGGGTTCCTATGACATTTATTTCACAAGAATTGATAGCACTTTTGTGCAGTCACCGATAGCCTTGTTCATAAAGATATTATTGTAGAAGATGAAATATTCCACAGTGCAAATGCATCCAACATGTTAAACCTGGCTACCAGATTTTCAAGCTTGGTGGCTAGTTGTTTTTAAACTCGGTGGGAGACGAGCAAAACTTGGAGCGAGGGGAGGGGAGGAAGGGACCATGGACTCCTTGAAACTTGACACTTGAGATGTTTTCAACCCTTACCACAAAGTTTGGCTTGAGGAAGAGCTTGAAGAGAGAATCTGGGTTGTAGTGGAGATCCCCAGGGAGTGTGGTGACGCTCTTGCTGTACTTGTCTAGGGTGGCCTTGGATAGCGTGGTGGCCGCCTGCACAGTCACAACGAGAACCACAAAGTCACAAATTTTCAAAACTTTGCCCACAAACTCTTTCACCTCAATCGTTCCACACTTTAGTGACAAGTCCGCACTGCCCAGTGCCTAAGATACGTCTGGTGTGAGACTGCGGGGATGCGCACAACTGCAGTGATCTAACTAAAATATGATGATACAACATCCGGGATGGCAAGCCATATTTTTTTAATGAGCAACGCTTCTTTGTGCAGGAGAGCAGCACAGAATAAGCCTGCTTAGGCAAGCACTGTTTATTCATAGGATCACGAACATAGCATGACATATTGCAGGGTCGGCGAGCGGAAGAAAATAAAAAATAAAACTCTTACTGATCTGGGGTCGGAGGAGTAAATAAATTGAATTTGATCCATAATTTTTTTTTCCAAAACACTAAAAACCCATGATCAGAAACACTAATGCATGTATCAATTTCTTTTTTTCCCCTAAAATTGCATTACTCGGAATCATCGGATTCCTAATCCAACTAATATAAAAATGCTAGCCTTATTTGGCCCTGAAGAAATGACCTGATTAGAGGGCTTGGACTATCATGACAAATTTCAACAAAGCATTAAATAGAGTGCTAAGTTTCAGTGTGCCGACCTTGGATTCGGAGAAGTACTTGTCAAAGTTCACATCCTCCTCGTAGTCTATCCTGAAGACAGGCTTCTTAGTCTTTGCCTTCTTATCGTCCTCTCCGTTACCTAACGAGGATGGGTCTAGAGACAAGACACACAAAAAAGATATCTGTTAGCACCAGCTGTACTTAGTCTCTGGGAGAGGGCCTTCACAAAAATTGGCCTTGATGCTATTTACGATTAGCCACTTTTTGCCCGCCTGAAAACTATTGGGCCAAGCACACAGTTGGTGTCCTTAAACTATTACACCGTTTACTCTAAGTGGCCAAAAGAAACCAGATCAACTTGGGGATTCTCCTCCACCTTTCTCCTCTGAGTTTCGAAAACCTGCACCTCCGAACACTTATGGAAACCACAAGCAAGGTACATGTGGTTATCATGCTAACGACCCTTCAACAATTCATTCAGAAAATTGAATGCCAGGGCCCACTGTACGGTTTGAGTTTACCTTTAGAATGCGGTTTTAGCTTCCAGTGCTGTGGGCCCGCCCAGGTGGTGAGTTTATCCATGTTGAAGTAGGAGTACTCGGTGGGCTGGAGTGACAGCTGAAGACACAGCTGACCAGCTGTGGACAGGGTCCTGCACCTGTTGGGCCAACAGACAAAAAAACCCCACCTGATGAGCCTTGTGCACCTCTTCATCAGTGTTTCAACAGAAATCTGAAAACCCCATTTCACGACCATTCGTATCTTCATTTACTGGACACTTACAAACACGTGAAGGACTGTCTGGCGCCACTCTAGCCTGACGGACAAAATCTATTGATGCCTGAGTATTTCAGCCAGGCCTGCAGCCTTGTAAAAAGAGCCCAGATTGTGTGGTGTTATATAACTTTCTTTTGTTCATGAACCTGGCTCAGTGTGCTGCTGACCTCTTTTCAATAGGGGCCAGATTAGCATGCAGCGGTGCTGCGTGGCTCATCACTGTGGTGGAGTGCTTTTGTCCCCGGCGGTAATCCGCTCGCTCTAAATGCCCCAAACAATTGTATACTGTTTCAAAACAAGGCAGGATTATCTCCACTTTTGAGAATGAAAAAATGTTGGTGATTCCCAGCAGCCTTGTCTTTTGTTCCGAGTACGGTCTTTTGTTAAAAGGCCCTGTTCCCTTTGTCCGAGTTCGGAGACCCCGGCCACGCATTAAAGCATACGTGTTCGGATCCGGAATCCCATGCAGGAAGTGGTTAATATGCTGACCAGGCTACCTGACTCCCACAAAGTTGACCATTAAACTGAGACATTGCTGAAGGTTCTGAGTCAAGAGACAATGGCTTTTGTACCCTAAAGCATACACATGTAGGCAAAACATTTCAAATTGCTCTCTGAAGTATCCCTCTGATAAAAAAACAGCCAAACCGTTTCAACTTCAAGCTGAAGTTGGTGACCGGGAAGAGCCCTAAGGAAATCAACATCAGGTGGACAAATCTTGAACTTTTCAGTGTCTGATGAAGACTCACCCGCTTGATCCTACCAGCCGAGCTTCCTGGCCGTCAGCCATGAACACAGACGCCTCTCCTATTGACCCCACCCCCTCCCCACCGTCACAGTCGTCGTCACAGTCGCTGAAGCCCCCGGCCGTGTAGTGGTCCGTGCCAAATTCTGGCTGGCCAGCGTCAGGCTCGTCAAGAGGTTCTGGGACAGCGTTAACATCAAAGGCCTGGTCGCTCTTACCCATCTGCTCGATCATGGCGGCAAAGTCATCCTTTGTTTCAGAAACATTGAAAAAAAAAAGAAGAAAAATTGCAACAGTTAATGTATATGTGATTGGCCTCAAAAGTGGATAAGATTACCTGAACATCAAACACTAGTTTCTTAATACTCTCCTGCTTTTTCCTGTGTCCTGTCTGCTTCAAACCAGAAAATAATTTTTTTTTTCCAAGCATCTTTACCTTAACAAAAACAAAGTTTCTCTTGATTGTACATGTTTTTTGATCCTTCCTTGTTCTGATAAACAAATTTATCCTTGATTGTTGGTGTTCATGACACAAACGAGCCACTTTTCTGTCTTTTTCCTCCACACTGTAAGGTAAACATCATCATTTCTTTCATTCTAGTACATTTGCATAACATTGTTCACAATGTATGAAACGGTAAATGCGTTGGTGCTAAAGATGCATGGACGGGTTTCCGCCCCATTCTCCTAATAGAGGGGTAATTTTCACATTATGGGGTAATTTTATGGGGTAATTTGGTAACTAGAATAGAAGCCATCACTGTGGTGGTATGCTCGCATTACATGCCTCCTTGCGATTTAGCATTGTGATTTGCCACATGAAAGTGCATGCGCCTGCAAGTGCAGTGCCACCACAGTTATGCTGTTTTCTTAGATGAGTCTATTAGAGGTGAAGTGTTGGCACAAATCCTTAGCACGATTTGTTCACAGCAAGTCTGTATCTCGTGATTGCTCTACCTTGCCATCTTTGTTCCAGTTGGTAAACTCAAAGTCGGCAAACTGCGGACAAATCTGCAGGGCATCCAAGTTGACACCAGCGTACACATCTGCAGGCAAAGACGGAGGACAGTAGGCACAACATAGACAGATGAAAATGTGGAGAGAGTCTGTCACAAATCTGAATGGACTATGCAAACCTCGATCGGGTTACCGTGAGCTATAAAAGGCAGTCGAACTATCTCATCACTGCAAAAGCATCAGAGAAAGGGTGGAGCTGAGTAGGGTGGGACGGGTTGTCAATGAAGACCATGTCACACTTGCACTTTTCTCCGGGTATCGCTGCCACTCTTTTCCCCATGCTAAGCTTCCATAAGTTATTCAGCTTTCTTGAGTATTGGACCAATTTCTATAAATTCCTGTACCCTTATTTCAAAATGTCAAATTCTAGAACAGAGAAGTGTCAATTAACTTTATCTGATGTGACCGTGCATTGGGAGGAGTGCTGGTTCTAGGGCTGCGCAGTATGGTGCAAATTTTTTTTACAAAACCTTTGGTCCGAGTGGATAGAGAATTAACAGGAGCGTAAAGTAAGGCAATGCCTTCATGCACACCACGTTTTAATCTAATCTGTATTGTAAATGGACTACACACTCAATGGCTATGAGGTGGTACATGGAAATACACGTCTTGATTCAAAAATATCTACCCAAGTACGTTTAAAAATTGGTCATCTCATGATGCGGGAAAGACTGTTTGAGGCCAAATTTGAGCACTCTTCCACCGCTATTAGGATAATAAATAACAGAAATGAAAATAAAAGTTGAGACTCTGGGTTGTCTTAAAGGTTTTACAATGACCAATAACTTTGATCAAGTTTGTCAATATGCTCACTCTCTGATACAGATATAACTTAGCATGCAATGACATATGTCCCAAGGAAAACTTGACCTTTCCCACGTTACCTCTCGATTTTTGTTGACATACCTCTGAGGTCGGACAAGTCCAGCCTTGCCTGCCTGGCAGACTCTAGGGCCTCGTCCGTCTGCGTGCCAACAGAGCTGGCCATCGTGGTGGAGTCCAGAAGGAGCTCGCCCTCGTCGTCCCTGCAAGTCAGGTGGTTGAGGAGCAGGCCGAAGGTACCCCCTTCATCAAAGGCAGCCGAGGTCTTGTGGAACAAGGGGTCCATCTGATCACAGAGACAATAGGGAGAATTTGCTCATAACACATACGACTATTGCCTAAAGTTTGTTCAAACTAAGTATGTATGAATAATACGAATAAATGTAAAAAAAAAACAACACACAACAGATAATCATGATACAATTATTTTTACAATTTGTACTAGAAAGCATGCACTATTAGAATCTTGCCACTTTCAAACTACTTGATACACTGAGAATTTTCTCGAAGGGATTTACCTCAAAGCCAAGGTCTAATTTATTCAGGTTGATGTTCTTCAAGTTGCTCTCGACAGTGTTGGAGTGTCGCTATCCAGTGGAACAAACACAAAAATTCAGAAACAAAATATCAGTTTTGTTATTTCTACGCTATACCCGACAGATGTAAAGAAGTCAAACCCCAAGCATTTCTCACGTTCTGTTAATCAAAAAATCAACGAGGCTCCTTTTACAGCAAACACCAAGTCTTTGATAAGCAAATTAGGAATCGCTCTGAATCAATGGAGACCTCTACTGCAAACTGTTTTATGAACAGCCAAGAAGTTTTAACGACAACAGAAGGCTCACCTTTTTCTGTTTCTTGTTGGTGTTAGTTCCTCCTTCTCCGGCCTCTGTGGGACCTTCTTCACCTTCTGATTGTGAAAAAAAAGACAAAACTAAGACAAAAGCAGTGTTTCTGATTATGGTCAAAAATTGAATATCTCTTTCACTGCATTTGATTTACTGATTCAACGTTTTCTGCCATCAGATGTTTCATTTTGCTCTTTAGTTTTTTATGTAAAGTTTTTCAAAATGTCAAGACTTTTTGTTCATAATGTACATTTGGTTAGGTACCTTTTCAATGGTTGACTGTAATATTTTTCGTAAACTGTTTGCCATTTATTACACATGGAATTCAGGGTTCCAACTTTCAAATTTGAAAACTTTTCCCAGAATTAAAGCTGAATGCACATATTTCCAGCCTATTGTTTTTTAATGCGGCGCTTAATAAATTTCACTTCATGCATATTCAGCAAACTTACAGCCCAAGTGTGTAAATATTGGACCATTTGCATGTTCTGATAATGGCTGTTGGCAGAGGGAACCTTAAATGTTTATTAACAGAAGAAAAGCACTGCAAAGGTTTACATGATGCAGTGATTTGCATCACCTTTGCTCTGTCTGTCTCCGTGGCCGAGCCCTCCTAGCATCTTGTAGGTGTCAGCATGGATGGCATCCACGCGGCCGGCGTAGATCTTGGCGCTTGCATCCAGCGTACAGCTAGCAACCTACAACAGAAGAGAGTACACTGCTGCTGGCAATCAAAGCCCCGACTTGAAAAGGCTCAGTGAAAACAAAATACAACTCCACTGGTAAGTGAGGCTTGTGGCTACGGCTACCGTGGATAGTCTTGGCTGTGGCTGGTGCTAATGCATAAGCCTGTGGGTCATTCTATAAATTCAGGGTCAAAAAGTGTGACGTTTTTTGTGTCCTTGTTATACCTTACCTGTGTAATTTGACATGGAAATATCACTCAAATTAATTTCAAACTATTTCTATTTGTTTGCCAGGTAATTTGCATTAATTCGTCACTCTTGGAAATCAGAGAATCATGTGTTCTGAACTTACAAAAATCATACGCCAGATGTGATACAGATGTGAAAAAAATTGGACCTCTAATTTATAGAATGACCCCTAAGGGAAGTGGAGGCAAAAATTCACCAATGGCTCCCACTGGCACACGTTTATTCCAGGTCACAGCCAATATTTCCAGACAAGACAGCTTGTGCGTAGCTTGAGATGAGGACTCTGGGTGGCCTTACGAAATCAGAATGCTTCACAAGAGAACTTTTGGTGCTGTTGGTGTCTTATTTTCACCCATGCCCCGGTGAATGCATAGCTTGGAAACATGTAAAAGGGTTTAATGAACAACATTTGCTAGTGATACCTGTACTGAATGATAATACGAGTGCCAGGCATATTTTCCTGAAGTTGTTTGTTTGTCTACTTTGACTGTCCACCGTACCTGGAAATTTGTCATTTCTCCCGTCTTCTCTTTGAGGAGTTCGGCCATGTAGTCAATCAAGTGCAGACCAAATGCATTCTTGGCATTAATTTTCTGTTGACAAGAGAGAACAGTGCATTTCAAAATGCTGCGACAAAAGAATCCATAAAGCATTTGTTTTTTACAAGAAATACAAGATATTTTGTCAACCAGAACAAAATCCAAAACAAAAGTGTCAAAATGCCACAAGGATTTCATCTTGCCATGTCAGTTATAATGTTTGTCTGTCTTTGGGTGGAAAAAAATTAGGTAGACCATCAGTACAAAAGTAAAATAATTCACCAATTGTTGAGAAACATTTGCCACAGCTATCAAAACATCAAATAATAAATACCACTACTAAATGCTTAAATGAAGTACATGTACATATTTCTTTCAAAATAACACTAATGGGCCCAAACTGTTACCAACCAAAGGTGACTTATCTGCAAACTTTAGCCGCCCACACAAATGGTAGGCATCAGCAGTGTTTCAAATCTAGATGTACTTTACTCAAATCTGCAACATTTCCTCACAAGTGTCCGTCCTTCTTTGTGTACTTTGTACACTAAACTGGACTTAATGCAGAAACCAAAGATAACATGGTGTGGGGTGCGCATGTGAGTCCCTGCTTCAAAGCCACTGAATTTCACCAGTGTTTCTTGATAAGCTCGGAGTGTTTGCTGATTTTCTATGGGTGACTGGATAGATTACATTCAGTAGGCGTATTCTTGGTTCATTGTGACAAAGATAAATTTGGATTTTCACTCACATTTTCTGTAGAGAGCTTGATGCAGTTTGCATAATGATCTGTGATCTGGGCAGCACTCAGGCCTTGATTGAGGGATAACGATCGCCGTCTGAAATGGAGGAAAACACAAATTTTATTGGAGAAATACAGGCGTTGATTATTATTATTTATTTCTGGTAATGACACCAAGGATCCCTCAAAAGTGCCCTAGGCACTGTAGCTCGTAAGCCTGGAGAAACCTGTAGAGAGGAAACAATGAGAAGCAGTTGCAGTTTTAGAGGTGGAAGGAAAATCCCAGAGGAATATTTTGGGTATAACCAAAAGAATCGGGTAGGGACATGTGGACCGAGCCGGGATTGGAACCCAAGGCCCTGAGAGGTGGAAGGCGAGGAAAGAAGCACCACGCTAACCTGACTTCCGAGCTGAGTGTACAAAAAGTAAGCCCAGTAAAGGAGAAACCATGCATGTACTCTTGTCACTTCTCAGTTGAATGGCTGAGATCTCATGTATTTATTCGTTTGGCTATTTCTCTCAATCAACCTTTTTGACATTTGTAACTGCAATGCATTATGGGATTGGATGACAAAAAATAAAGAAAGAACGAAAGGGGAAAAATCACGGCTGTTGCAGGCTTTGAACTTGGATCCACATGTGTCCACAGCTATGTGTAGCAAGCTAGCTAGCAACTCGATGGCTTGATGGAATCCGAAACCTTACACAGATCCCAATGCTTGTTGTACAGTGCAGTGACTACAGAATTTAGAAGTTGCATTACCATAACTACAGCCACTACAATGAAAAGACACTATGGAATACAGATGCACCTGTGACTTGATGAACAGGTGTGTATTCTGAAGAAAGTTCTAACATGGATTTCTGATTGGTTCACTTCCCCCGTGTCATGCATTAAAGTGTATGGCTTGCTTGACATCCACTGCCATGATGCAATGAGAACATGCTGAGAAAGTTTATGGTACCTGTCGCTTGGTGTTCCTGGGCTCTGAAACTGCCGCTGCATCTCCAGAACCTTGGACCGCCGCCTCTGCCGACGTTCGGCTGCGTCATCATTCTCGGGGACACTGACATGTTGACCGTGGAGGGCCGACTGGCCGGGGAGAGGGGGTGGATGCCGACGGGAGGAGGTTGAGGGTGAGATGAAGTCTGTGGGCGTGGTGACGCTGGAGGGGTTCCTGAACAGGGCTGCCCCCCGCTGGGCAGGTGTGTGGACATCCACAGCTGCTGGCATGGTCAACAGTCAGATGTGCTAAACCTGGATAAAACACCATTCAAATCACCCAACTGATTACAGACATGGACCCTGTAGTCCCAACATTAAAAGTGTACAGGAATAACTACTGTACATGTGCACAGCCCTGAAGCATCTTTATATTCAAGTAAATTTCAATTTATATTCAAGTAAATTTCGAAACCAAGAAGGCATTAACGTCAATGACGGTATAGTTGCCAAGTCCCTTATTTTCCCACTTAGGCCTAAGTTTGCTGTAAAAACCAATAAGACTTGACAATAGTTGGCGAAATTAGGGACCAGGTGCCGAAGTCTAGATGAAGAAGTCATTATGTGGAAAATTAAGGTGGGGTAAGTGTGGGCATACCTGATCGAGGGAGGGGGGGAGAACCCGATCAGCCATGATTTTTTAATATAGTAGGGCCTACCTATATTCATTTGATTCACGTCACAGTCTGTATGCCCTACAGAAAAAAATCACGGCTGATCGGGGTCCCCCCCCCGATCAGGTATACCCACACTTACCCCTATGTCATATTACTCATATGTACATCAGGTCATGTTTGTTAGGCCTTAATCCTGGGTGCTATTTGTTCATGAAGGTGGCCTGTCTGCATAGGCCAAATGTTAGCAATAGCATGGCTAGTCTAATTGGAAAGAGGTCCATATACATGTCTGAAAAACCTAGGTATAGTCAGTCCGAGTAACTTGGACCCATAACATTTAAACATGTTTAAGGGAAAATTAGTGTTGTCCGTCATGTCCGTACCCTCATATCTGGGTATGGAACTCTTTCCAGCATGTCCAGATACTGAGATAGACCTCATCTTTTCGTGCCTGTCAGTCAGTCTTGCTGCCTGGTCAGCATCATGAGTACGGTCAGTGCAGTGCCGGGGTTTATGATGATGCTTGAAAACTTTGACCCAGTAGTGTCAACTACCACTGCCAGTGCACTGTGCCAGTACTACCAAGTACAAGTTACAAGCCTACATGATGTAGGCCACTTGAAGGCCTACATTTTTTTTCAGTCGGCATAGGCATGGTAGGCCTAAGCCGACTCCTCCATGCTAGGCAGTAGGCCTACTAAGGCTAGGCCTACCAACCTGCCAACTTAGTACCAGGACTAGCAGTCCTACTCCTTTTACTAGTAGTAGTACTAGTGACTAATCAGCTACTGAGTAGTACTAGTGTAGTCGTAGGCCTATATTTGCGCAAAAGCATATGTCTGACCATTTCTCCATGGTCTGACCATGGTCTGACTGCCTTGGCCCGGTGTACATGACTAATGTTAGGCAATTTACAACTAAATAGGCATAAATATCTGTAGAAAATAAACCAAAAAAGCTAATTCTGTTGCATGCTCACCAGTCGCCACTGTTATTTTCGATTTAATCTTGAATTCAAAACTAGAAATTCGTAGCAAATTTTCACCAAACACCAGCAACAACTCGAATATGGCGCTTTCCGTTAGAAGTTATGTGTGCGCATGCGCATGTTTACAACGCGACGGCTGGTTTATGTTGCAAATTTACTTTGTCTTTCCATCTACACACATTTGACTTTTGAGCTGTTCACTTTAAACGATCATTTGGTTCAATCAATTTATTGTGTTACTGAAAATTTGTTTCTCCTCCGACATCTCTCACATAGGTGGTTTTTTTTTCAATCTAAAACTACAACCCCAGAAAACAGTCCTTGTTACTTATATACTGAACGGCCAGGAGATGGCGCCCTTCACTAAACATATATTTGCCACAGCTAATACTGATGTTTTGCGTTAAAATCATGTACTGGTTTTAAGGCTTGATGTTGTACGTCCATCTATTCAGTTCTCAAATGCCAGCCGAAGTGACAAGTACAGAAAATTCTGGGATTTGTTTTAAGCAACTCAAAAGTCAGTCCTTTAACATCAATTAAAGAAACAATAATGGCCAAAAGAGATGACCATTTTGTTTTCAAATGATTGAGCACTGAGTACGTAGCTAGCCTAAGTTCTCGAAGACTTGGGTCTGCATCCACAAGCCAACTGAGTGGATTTGGATCGGAACCATATTGCAATTTATTGTTAGTTAATTTGAGTTATTTGTGGTAACGAATGTGTGCCATGTTCACAATACGCTGCATAATAGTCGTCAATATTGTTGAATCATGGCGGAAGGAACATACTCCACCAAGTGGTTGCTTGAGGCGCATTGGAGGTTAGGGGGTGGAGTCGGAGAGAATTAAGCCTCTCCCCAAGAGTTTGGTCATCAATAACGTTGACTCTATGGAGGAAGGAACACTCTCCATGGTTGCTTCAGTGGCGCGACCGTGGGGGGGGGGGAGTCTTGAACATCATGAGCTACTCAGAGCTAGTAGTGGTCTGATGAGTCCCTCGATCTCCCTACGAAAAATCTTGCTGACCGTACGTGCGCCACTGCTTGCTATGATTTGACGTGCGGAAAATTAACGATTTAAAACAGAGGTGGCGGTCACTTGACCAGCCCACCGTAAACCATACGGAAATGTCAGGCAACTTGCCCGTCCTTTGAGCCTTCTCACTTGTTTCTTGCGCACGAAATTCACACCTTTCTCCACCATAGCCCACTTTTGAAAATGTCAGGAAACTGTTTCAGGCCTTCAAAAACCGTACCAAAATCTTAACAACTACTGCTCACGAAAAGAGCTTTGGACAGATATTACCATATATATTTTTGCCAATACTACATGTTTTCTCGATTTTATTTTCACAACATACGTTTCGAATGGGGCTAATCGTACCATGAAAATATTTTTGGTCTGATATTCTTATTTCCAAGAAGTGAAGAAAGAGGTACATTTCATACATTCAGATCGCATGGCACGAATTCTTATAGCCCTCATTAAGTATGTAAATTGCCACAGTTCAAAATTTCCCGCTAAAACAGCCATGGTTTCACTACACTATATAATAAAGCGCCCATAGAAAACAGTGCAAAATCGGACAGAAACAGTCGCCTGGTGACTCTTGGGGAGAGGTTGACCTCATGCTTTTCTTTGGAAATGTAAAATTATGGCCGGAAGTTCACTTTTCTTTTCATTTAATTTTTTTGGGGGTTAGCCACACTTTTTTTATTCGCCCATTGTCGAAAATACCCCCCCCCCACACACACACACAGGAATAGACTATGCGCTCAGCTAGTCGCCCGCCTCCTTGCAAAATAGGCCCACAGGTTGGCCCGGGAGGTTTTTGCGAACGAAATATGCCGCATTATGACGCCAGAAGACCCAAATTCCTCATTCATATGATCGCTCCCGATGATGGCACTTCTTAGTGTAACAAACCCGTGGAATCACAAAATAATAAGTTCGCACGTAGAAATCTACCATTCAGTGGAACGCGCACATACGGTACCAGCGTTAGCAAACTATGGCTGGCGCGCAGGGAGGCCCTCAGTAATAGTTCTCGAAGTGGTAAAATCAAGTTATAGTTATACAGCAGTGACCAATAACAAATACATGTACTACTACAGGAAAAGTCCCCTTGTATTTCATGGGACAACTGTCCATATTGAGGTAAGAAACCTTGCCGCTGCTAACCGCGGCTGAAATTTCTACTGTACACGGAGACTGATCTATTCAGGGTATAATTGCTGAATCAAAGGCTGACAATGTGGGCACGCAGCTTCTTCGCGAAGAAAGATCGTAGCGCGGTATCCGGTTCGTGACATCGTCATACACGCGGACGCACCACTGCACGATTGCAGGCTGCGGCAATTCGACGAATACTGAACTTCTGGTTTCATAATTATGTAACTTAATGATCAGTGGGCATGGTTAAAACCAAAGAGCTACAAATTGTAGCACTATAGTTAAAACTGAAGTGACGTCACACTTACGAACCGGATACTTAAATCACAGGCTCCCGCCAATTTGCGCTGTACTCGATATATCATATTCTCTCGATCATGTCGATGTGCGAGTACAATAAAAACAAAAAAACCTTCTTTTTTTCTCTCTCATGAGAAGTTTTCTTTGCGAAGCTGGAAAACACCGGGTTTTCATCGAATCATTCATCGTGACAGCTGCGCTGGGCCGTAACCGAAAGTGAAAGACAGTCACTTTGGCAACATGAGCCATGTACAATTCAGTACATGTTGGCCTATACTTATTTCTTTCTAGAATGATCTTTTCCCAGATATGACACATTGAACTTTAGACGTGAATGCCATCGCTTCGTCAATCGAACGAGGAACAAGAATTGACAGTGTTGTTTTTTAATTGGGATTTGGCCTTGACAGCATCAAAATATGTACAATGAACATATGCTCACCGATTAATGTATAAAAAAGGAACGTGGCTACAACAGCTGCTCTAATAAACTCTAAATTTTTAAAAACTGAAATTACACTTTTTGTAACTGAAATGCATATATTAACAAATAAATGCAATACATTGGAATACTTAAAAAGCAAGTGTAAAATCAAGCCTTTTGATGGGCCAAACTCTTTTAACTGTCAACTTCTGGACGGATTTTCCAAGAAGAATTCATTTAATATTTAAATTCAGGCCAAAATATACAGTTATCAGCTGAGTAATATTTAATATAGGTAATTATAATTTGACAGGTGGGAGAACGTTGTTTCAGGCAGTGAAGCTCAGAAAGATGAAAGAATAATTTGTAGGGGGGTGTTTGGACAGGGAAATGGAGGCCTGGGATTTGGGATGAGACATTCCATACTTTTTACATACACGTATTCAAGGTTCATCCTCACTCTTACGTGTGACTCTGCCCCCTTTTTCTGTGCCTTTCGATAAGCAAGCAGAGCAATATTTGCTGAAGCCGTTTGGCCTGTCACACAGATGTTTTATCTTCAGTTTCCTTGGCATGAAATGACTGAGAATATTTCCACTGCCCCTGGATGACATCTCAGTCCATAAAAGATAGCTCACTAGCTAATGCCAGTAGGAGCAAGGTAGGGGTCAGAAGTGACACACCCATGGCTACAATTTAGGACTGGCCTACCAGATTAGAACTCCTGATCCTCTGGTCATGTATCATCCTAACCACTTGCTCACGCCCCCCTTCAATACGAAAGGTGAACCCTTTTGGTAACACAAACTTTACGGGACAACTATGAGTGACGACTGTACAAGTTGTGGTTGACTACAGTTTGACCAACACTGCCCAAATGTCAGAAAGTTTGGACCATCTAGTCAAACATCTGGAACCAGGCCCTGGGGCATGGTCACATTGCTAATTTGGGCCAATTCAATATATCAATATAGAGGAAACAATTCACATGAAAAAACATAAACCTGTCCAAAATGATATTGACCATGTACACTGCAAAAGTCTCAGCTGAATACAACATGCGAGTTGCGGTGAGATTTTACAAAACAGTTCAACAACTGACATCGTGCATGTGTGCAACTGAGTGGAGGTCCAACTATCATTTGCACCTGTACTTGCCTGTAGATGTGGTTGAGCCGCAGCTCCAATGGATGTACTCCGTCTATGTGAAAGCTATGATATCTTTGATGCAGAATCAATGGGGTTAAATGCCTGAAATGTCGTCTTCCAAAAAAAAATTAAAAAATAAAACAAATATCTAAAAAAATGAGGAAAATCTCAGCTCACACTGTGTAACTCATTCACCAACAAGAAAATGTATAGTTTTGTATTCAAGACGCTGAATGCCTGCATTCTCCCTGTATTAAGAGCAAAAGTAAGATAACTGAAATATCAAAAACTGCTCACAATTAATGATACAGAAAATGGTCATAACTTCAGCGACATAAACTGATCTGGGGGAAAGTGAAATTAAACATACGGTAAGCTTAGGTTTATCTCAACTTTTACAAGGTTTTGCAGTTGTTTTGGAAGGTACCTCAGAGTAAATCTCCACATTACTGCTTGTTTTAATTTTGCATTCTTTCCAAATATAAACAAAACTATAGTGCAAATCTGGCATGTTTCATCAAAATTGCGACGGTCCAATGATGTCCATGGCGATTGTTCACAAACTTAAGACTGGCCACAGTAATCTTTAAACAGCTCAAAGGTCCTGACCATAAATCGGCATTGTACTTTATATACACTGTCCACAACCTGAAGATTGGATGTGCATGTTCTTGTATGGACGATGCACAACCCCATACTTTGTACATACTTTGTTCACGCTTAGCATCCAACTGAATATAAATGTGGTACTGAAACAAAGTTAATCCCATCCTTGTATTGGAAAAAATATGTACCTATGACACTCCTGTGTATTAAAGCATGCAGCAAATTAATTTGAGGCTCACAGAGAATGATACATAAGCAGGACAGCGGACCCCACCACAAATATCCATGGTCTTTCTTGCTACACTACCAGTGGCGCAACTAAGGGGGCGATGGTGGATGGAAGGCATGCCCCTCCACTAAGAAATTGGAAGAGGAAAAACTCTGGTGAAAGTCCACCTTGGTCAGCTTTTCAACGGTGATCGAACGCACTGAGTGCCTCCCTTCAAAAAATGAGGGCGCCAACGTAACCTCCCCCCCAAAAAAAAAAGTATCCCCAGTTACACCACCATACACTATAGGGAGTTTTTTGCATCCTGAACAGTGAACACCTGGCTTATGAAACCACAAGGTTTGCTAAGCCTCAATCATTCTACAAATTTACTTGTAGCTGTACCTCTATTCACCAAAGTTCTCAACACCCCTAACTGGATACTATGTGGATAGTCAGTACTGCAGTAATCAACAATTGATCCAAAAGATAAAGTGATAAATTAGAACTAGGCTGCTTTGATTGGCAGGAGGCTAACAAGTTTACGAAACCCCACGTTAAGTCCAACGTCCACAGCCAGACTAAAGGGCAGAACTTTGCTCAAAAAAAAAAGGCAACGCAGGGGATTTCACTGTGAGATCTGCGGGCCGTAATACGTAAAATGGACGGTCGGGTAGTTGGAAGGATTGCATTCACTGCTGATCAACTGCAGGCGATACCTTTCTTCAGCTTGCCTTTTTCTAGTATCTCGGCGTAGTACTTCATGACTCTCTGAAATGTAAAAATACAAACAATGAAGTATGGAAGCATACACTGTTGTTGACTTTTCCCCTTTCACTTGCTTAAGTCTTGACAAAGTGTTTATCCAATCCTATGAGGCATTGCAACAGTGTCTTTAGTCTGGGGAATTCAAATAGTTATATTTATGTGCAGAGAACTCAGTGTACCGGATTTTATTCAAATTTAACTTGCAAAAGGCTTACTGGTCTTTACTTCCAATTATATATGTAATATCACTCTAATTTCTTTAATCTTATGCAAAAAAGAAATCTTTCGCAATCATGCTTCAAACGGCCAGCCAAAAAATTTTGCCATGCCTGTTGTATTAAAAGGTTGCCAAAATGTGCCAAAATAATACAAACTGCTATAATAAACGATATTTAAGGTGCACAATTTGTGGGCAAACTTGAGTAACAACTGTTTATCAACCACTGGTATCCTGGGCACAAAACATTCTAGGTACAGCTACCAGGCAAAATCGACGTGTGGTTCACAGTGGATGACAAACTGTTGTCACCCAAATTGCCCTGCAATGAAAAATTAAGAATGTCAAACGTGGCAACAGGACATAAAAGTACTAAAAAAGACAACAGCCCTTAAGAAGTAAAGGGGTTTCTTGATTATGTTCCACTCAGTTACAAAAGATCTTTTTTGCATGTGAAATTCATTTCACAACAAAACCTTCACACCTTAGGCCGCAATTTAAAATCAGAGGGGTGCATGTCAGGCATACGTGCATACATGTATTGAGGAGTCTGCGGTACTAATGTGAGAAAGTGCACTTTGAGGACATCACATGGTTCTAGACAGTCCAGTCATTGTATGTGTGTGTGGGTGAGTTTGTTTCTGCATTCAATTGGGGACCCTGAACAATAGAGGACAATAAGGTCCCCGATTGACAGAGGGTCCCCGATTGACAACTGTATACAACACATATGGGTGGTCTTCTAAAAAAGTTAAAGAATAAACAAAAGAGGAACAATAGGGGGTCCCCAGTTGCAGGCAAATACACACTTGTGTGTGTGTGTGGAGGGGGGGGAAGGAGTTAGCAGACGGCACAAGACCGTACCCAAGGGAAGTAAGGGAAGCAAGGGTGGATGGTGCCCTACAGGCAGGGCTTCATATGTACATACTGATGTGCAGGACAGTCTGACTTTTGACCTTGTACAGTAGAGCACCAGGTCTGCCAACCGATCAGGACAACAATTTACAGCATTTGATTAATTGAAGCAGGTGATATCTGCCCAACAATCATAAAATGATTCCACCCGCGCATACTTACTGCTGACAGGCGACTTTAGCAAACATTTTTAATAAATTGCTGCTACGGGCACCATTGGGCACTGCCAGCCCATTGTCAGCCTGTGTTTGCAGCATTTCTTACGTCAACAACCTTTGTATTCAAATTGGTAAGTTAAACATCAACGCCTTTGTAATGCACAACTAATTGGATCCTTTGTTTACCTTTCATACATAATCACAGTACCTTTCACAGGTTTAGACCACAACCTTATCAGGCCCCCACAGACTTTGCAATGTTCAGCTTGACATCACATGCACTAATCCAGTTCGCTATGGAAGACTACATGTTTATCGTTCATTTATACCAAGGATGATCTACTTATATTTCATGACAGCCTGCATGGCGTGGTATAGGGTAATTCCAGAAATTAGGGGTCCATTTTATTTGTGTCCCTGTCATATCTGACATGTGGTTTTGTAAGTTCAGAACACATTTTCTGATTTCCAAGAGTAATGAATTAATGCAAATCACCTGCCCTACAAATAGTGATAGTTTGAAATCAATTCCGGGGATGTTTCCATGTCAGATAACAAAGGTCAGATGCAACACGGACACGAAAATGTCACACTTTTGGACCCCTCATTTCTGAAATCACCCTGTAAGGTTTATGAACAAACCGACCCAACACAGTTTGGATATACAGCTACAGACCACACGTTAGAAGAGCTAACTTGAGCACTGAGTGTTACAGCAAGCTTGCATGAAACACTTGTGAACAACGACTTTCTTTTATGCTGCTTTACGGGGGAAAAAATGCAGTTGAACTAAACTTGTGCCCCTCTTATGGTGAAGCAGACAAAAACGACCCCATGCCTTTGTATTTCTAGCAAACACGTAAAATACGACTGATCTGTACAAATTCTGACAAAAATCAGACCTGCACATGCCATACTGATTGAGCACAACTGTGTATTTATGAGAGGTCACATACACAGTTGTTGGTGTGGCGTTAAACTTTCTCACCTTCCGGTCAAACGAGTGTGCCATTTCGACGGCAGACATGCCAAACTCGGTGCGCACTGTCGGGTCAGCCCCCTTCTCAACCAAAAGCTGCACCAGGGAAACATGGCCATTCAAACTTGCAATCTGAGTTGCAGTGAACGAACACAGAAAAATGGTCCAGAATTAAATGTAGCATAAAGTTATCTTCAAGGGTCTAAGCAACGCAATTTGTTTACTACAATCTTTGCAAATGTACCTTTGTGCATCCATTAACCATATTTTCTGTTTTGTTTTCTTATTTTAAAAAGTTATTTTGGTGCCTTTTTTGTTTTATGCTTGGGTAAATTTCCAGATATTCATGTATTCATGAGCAAATCCTTGCTGTCACTCCTAAGCAGAAAACATCAATGTTGCACCAATTCGTCAAAGTAACTGCTGGAATTGTTGACATTTTGCTCTTCTAAATTTCCAGTCTCAGATATGTTTTCACTGAGCGAATTTTGGCTCATAAATTTTAAATAACTGGCCTTCAGCGGAGTTCAGTGACTTATTAATACAGAGTTCACCCAGTAAGATACTACATTCCACAGTGTTTTATCATGTGAGTGGACAGTATAAGCTCCTTTCTGAGGGTACTCAAGAGTAAGATGTGAAGTTGGGTATAATTGTAGATAAAAAAAGGTTTGATCTGAAAATTTGGTACGTGCTATATTTGAAGACTTGATTATATTTGCATGAACAGCTTGTCATCAAGGTCCAAGATTGAGAGGTTGGAATCCTTGCAATTTTTCCAATAAGAGACAACAACTGATTTCCAATGACTTCTCAAGCACCCTAAATATATGCTTTTAACAAGTAATTTTGCCCACACTAACTTCTGTGGTCAGAGCTTCTGTTGTGGAAGTTGGCTAGGGGCCCATTTCACAAGGATCCTGATTCTTGATCTGTGATCTGTATATTGGTTCACTGACCCCGAAGCCCCCCAATGGATGGAGCGAACCAGCTTTGGGACAACTATCGAGACCTGGATCCACGTTACACAAACAGACCCTCTCTATTTCTAACCCCCAAAATGTGTAAATCAAAAAAGTTAGAAGGCCTGGTGGTCTGATCCAATTGAAATCTCTCTGGAAAGCAATTTTTTTTGGGGGGGGAGGGGTTGGCCTTTTGATTTGTGTATATCAGGTCAGTGAAGCCAGCATGACGTTTACTTCTTTTTTGTACTAATTTACATTTCTGGTCAAAAATGGGTGTTTCAAATCATATTTATGACAGTTCAACTGGTTCACAGGCTTGGCTGGCATGGGGAACATAAAATGCTTTTGTTTTATTGGTCTTGACACAGAGTGAGTTCTCAGCAGTAAAATATACATCTATCTGTATTCCCACAGTTGACAAAGGGTAATGTGTACAGATGTGCAAATCCACCTCTCCCAGGGACATAAATGTTTCAGTTTCAACTGTCGTGAATATAATTTGATAAATGCCATAGATTTTCAGAGTCATAATTCACAGGTTGCGAAGTACTGGTACATGTACACTGTATGTGACACACCTGAGAATTTATTTTGATGGCATTCCGGGACCTTTACCGGATCTCATGGTTGTACATATGGTCAAAGGTTACACTTTGTTGGATGCTTTGAGGCAAGGAATTGCTATTTATTACATTTGGAAAGAAGTAACTGGCCCGCAGCAAAAATAAGTACCTCTCACTTACAGGTGTGAGTATTTTTTTTTAGAATTTACAGCCTGTGACCAAAAAACCTTACACCTTAAACTTGGAAATCATGAAAAAGCTTTTGAGCATGTCTCCGGTTCAGAGTCATTCAGTTTTTAATAGTTTTTGTAATCTAATTTGGGTTCGTTTGATCCCTTTGAAGTCACTTTGCATCTTAATTAACACCACTAATGCCACACTATTGAAACTCCTTAAAAAAGGACAGAAATAAAACACACAAGCAAGGGAGCACATTGTGGACAAGAAGCCATCTATGGTGCATTATCCTGTTTTACTAACAGTGTAATACACGAAGTCAAAATCCATTTGTACTCGTACAATGTAGATTGTTCTAAACAGTATTTATTTGCACTAAATTTGACAAGGATTCAGCCTTTTTTCCTTAGGGGGATGCTTGTGATATATGTGAAAGTGCTGGATTTTATGAGGCCAGTTTATTTACAGTACTTTTATGTGCGTCAGTTTAAAACCAACAGCAGAACAACTACCCGGTTGGAAATCAGCCAAACCGGAATCAGACAAACTGAAGAATGTTGGCACTCGGGACTCTGACTCAACATGCTGAAGGGACCTGAGCAGACATGTATCTCACTTAGATCAAATTCCATCTGCAGTCAGAGAGATCTATTGTTCAACTGAAAAAACAAAAACAAAACAAAACAAGGGAATGAAAGAAGGTCGTACCATCAGGGGCGTCTTTCCATCTTTGTCCTTGATGTTGACCTCTGCCCCCGCATTGATGAGCACCCTGGCAACACTGGAATCGCCAGCCATGGCAGCACAGCGAAGCAGGGGTGTCCAGCCTGAGCCCCAGTCCTTTTCACTGACCTGGGGGGGGGAAAGAGTGACAACAGGGAAGATTGCATTCTGGCTAATTTTGTGGGCCGCGCAATTAAGATAAAATAGCTTTTGAACACGTTGAAGGTCAACTAACAATCAGAGTTTGACGGCTGTTCTTTGCTACTGGTGCGATGAACAGACTGAGACTCCTGAAAAGGGTCACGCATAGTTAACTGCAGTGTTAACTCTGAGCTACCTGTATTTTGAACCCAAAACATGGTGCCCTTGTCCAAAAGCACAATACCAACATCCTTTCCAAGCTAGAAAGAACTTCTTCTGAACTCTTGTTTGCTCGGTAAGACAGCACAGATTTCAAATTCGTTACACTTTTTCAAGGAAGGGAACACTGGGCAAAGTGAAAGCACATCCGTGTTTGGAAAAGCAGATCATTTTGATTTGTGATGACTTGCTTTAGTAGAAAGCTCTGAGATACAATTTTGCATGAACTGTAATTTTGTTGGTGACTGTAAAACTTAGATTGCTAAAAATTCAACTTACGAATTGTGCACTTTAGTCATTCTTTATTTGACAAGGGTAAAGCTCTATTAGTTATCTAAAATCGCTCTAGGGGCCCTAGCACCTATCATAACAAGACAATGAAGAAAATATAAGCTTTAGGGAAACCCCCAGACAAATATTACAGGGAGTCAAAATTACAGATTCAGGTACTGGTAGGGACGTAAACCTACTTCACCCCAGGGGGTTCACTGCTCTGGCTACATTACGTACCGAAGCTCCATCAGCAATCAGGGACTGGATCAGAGCCACGTTGCCACCGTCCACTGCCCAGTGCATGGCCGTCGAGCCCCCTTTATCCCGGTTCACATACGAGGCGTTGTAGGACCGCAGCAACTTGACCACTGGCAAGTGGCCGGCAAAGCAAGCCAACATGAGGCTGTCCTTCCCGCTTCCGTTCACCGCGTTGACGTCGGCTCCGTATCTCAGCAGCGTCTCGATCATTCTGCAGATGACCAACGATGAGAAAGCTACCTTCAAAACACCTGTTCAAAGGGCAACTGTGGCACTCCCATCTTGACCCTGACCTTGCCAGCTATTCAAACTGAGGTTTTGGAAGCCTCTGAGCAGTTAGAGATGGTAGAGCCAACTCACTCTAACTTTACAATGGGACTTGATGCCCACTGAAAGCATCTTGTACAGTGTCTCGCCTTATTGAGTGTATGATTGGGGATTTGTCTGGTGGGCTGCTAACAAAAATGGGAATTTGAGACTTTAAAGAAGCTACAGTAACTTTTGCATTTTAAACTACAGAACACTGGCTGAATTAAACAACAATGTACATGCATTCAAATTCTCTTCTCAATTTTTCAACAAAATGCTATTTATGTGACGAAATATGTGTAGGCAAATAAAAACAAAACAACAAACTACATGTATTAATCATGTCAGTGTACCAGTTGGGTTTAAAAGATGTATTTGTACCGAGCTTTTAACGAAAACCAACATGCTTTACAGGATGACTCGGTATGTTGCACATATGTAAATTAACAGGTAAAAGACCCCGTAATCATGGTAATGTTAACACAGGATGAACCTTACAGTCATTACTCATTCCATATGCTTCACAACTGTAGTCATGAACCAGATCTGAACGATGAGAACATCAGTCACTGTACATGTAGTTCATGCATTCCATTTCTCATAATTTTTTTGGACATGCCGCAAATTCTGTCGATTGCACAGCAACATAACGTGCAGTGGACTGTCATTTAGACAGGAGTGGTGGCTTGGCTGTGCCGCATGGGCACACAGTAAATACTAGACATGTTGCCGAGCCCTTCTGACACAAGTACCTCCCATCAACGTTTACTTCAGGTGACAGGAGGGCACTGTGTACACATGCCTATTCAAGCACTGCACAGGGACACGCAGACGCACGCAACACGCCCGCACTGTTTACACAGGGGTGTTTGATGAACTACCCACTTCACATAATTCTCCTCGGAAAAATCCAACCTTTTTTTTCTCATACAGCATATTGTCCCCCCAAAAGGCAGGGCAAAATACATACAGTAATCAATCAAAGTAATCAAATCAAATCTGGGGTTTTTTGTTTCAAAATATTCTTACATGAATTAGCAGAGAATGTGTTCATGAATGCACCTAATTTATGTACACTTTTATTGACACCAGACAAATGTTAATCAAACTGGCACGATAAAACAAGGACACTGCCTCAAGTTCAGAGCAGAAAAGAATCAAGTACGTATGGGTGCTACATGTATGTTTTACTGACCATAACTTGCTACCGGTACATGTACATCTATGAACGGTAGTGTAAAAAGCTAGGGACACTACATGTATGTGTTCAAAATATGGTAGCTAGGGACGGGGTGGGAAGTTACATTGAAAATTTGACTTGTCATCAAACCTATAACGTGCATGACAACTTTATTTACAGGAAGCATGGGAACTGGTTATCATCAAGTGTTTAGTTGGTACCCTGAAACTGACTACATGGACTGTCTGAATTGAAGGCTTGATCAAATTGAGTCACATAGCCAAGCAAGGTTTGGTTCTTGTCATGTCTTATGCTGTATGGAAGTTGATTTCTTTTCTTTGTAATGGTAGTTAGTGATTCTATTCAAGGTAGATGTACATGTACCTGTGCATGTACTGTATACCGGAGAGGTGTGCTACATAAAGTACAAAAGCTAACAAGCAAAACAAACTTTCAATGCTTGAAAGAAACCCTAGGTATGTTGGAAGTGCAAAACTTTTGAGGCCCTCCTAAATTAAAAGCTGAATATGCTGTTACTCGAATCGACAAGCTCAACCACAGACCTAGTAAATGCAGTTGGCAAGGCAAACAGCACGGGTCCAAACTCACTCTAGACTTACTCAATGTTTCCCTTCTGGGAGGCCTGCATGAGGGGAGACAGGCCAAAGGTGTCTGGTACGTCCACCCAGACATCCCCTGACTCCAGAATCTCGGCCACGCGATTCACATCCTGAGTCAATGACACCGCTTTGTGCAGCTGGTCCCCAGTCAATGGTTCCTCTATGAACGAAAGGTTGGAGGCCAAACATAAAACTGACTCTCAGGGACAAACAGTCAATACTGTACAGGCAGATTTGCAAAAATACGTTTGTCTGTTGCAGGGCAAAAAGGCAGAAGGCTTATACAATGGTCCCTTCAGAGTTTTAGTACAAATAATGTGCCAAATGCTACTTTCCTGAAAACAAATTATGGATTTTGGAAGACAGTCTGAAAGTTTCCTGACTAAAATGTATTAGGGCAGTTTAGGCTGCATCCGAATCTGTTGTCTAGAGCTAGGTCTAGGTCTTTGCTACACTGGAAATGTGTGGAGACGCGTAGACAATAGACTTAGCCGTAGCTCTTGAAGCCTGTTTCGGACACCGCCTTAGGTAAACACAAGTAAATCAAGTTTCATGTACATGTAAATACAGTACAGTACAATGCATATAGGGTTTTAAAAGTATATAGACAGTTTAATGAATAACTGCGCATACACATTGTACATGTACATACACGTGCATTCTAACAGCAATCAAAAGAAACGACACTGGTCAGGTGGTATTAAATGAACCGAGAGTTTTTTTAATTATCGACTCACTTCTCAAATATCACTCGCACACGCTGTAGCTGTACATGGGAAATAAATATTGTGCACATAATGACGAATACAGGTTCCTCTATCTAGATGTATCCGGATTAAATATTATCCAATATCTCTCTGAAGATATTGAGACAAACATGCATGTGTGTATAGCTCGTGACTGACACCTATGATGGATATAATTTGTTACTCACTTGTTGTCGAGACGGTCACGACTCTGCTGAACTCGCTACTTCCGTGGTTGTTGAACACGCGGAGCCGGTACTTGTAAAGGGTGTTGGGTTCCAGCCCTTGGAAGACGTTGTTTGTTGCATAGCCGCTGAAATGAAGAAAACATTTCCATTCGGATGAAGCGGCAAGGACACTCATATTACGATAAGACAGACTCTGACATGTGGATATGTACATGTACATAAGCCCGTAGAGTTTTGACAGGTTTATACATGATACAGTACATGTACCGGTACTTGGGAGAGGGGCTGGGTCAAAGAAGTAGGGACGCAATAACACTGTTACATGTATAAATACTGGCATGATTTAATGTTTTGCTCTCAGTTACAGTTTATTGAGCAAGATGTCTTGTCCACAAATCTGTGCTGCTGGTCATGCTGGAAAAGTTAATGCTAAAAGCTTTACATTAACAATCTAGTCTGGCAACACAGACTGTGATGAGCACCATGCAGAAAAAACAGTGTTCCCTGCAGGCAACAGCGCTGCGACTAATGGAATCGTTCAAAATCATCAGAAAAACGTTAAATTTATCAAAAACCAATAAATGCATGATCATTGTGCCCTCTGTAGAAGAGTGGGTTAATCTGGTTGCCACGCATGCTGTCAAGTGGCATATCAAACCCCAACAAAACCTCAAAACTAATATGTACTTGAACTGGGTGCACTGTTAAGTTTTCATTGTATTATCAGAATGATTTTGGCATACATGTACATTTTGTACATTACACTTACAATGTACAAAGAGTAGGCTCCAGCTCCACCTTACCAAAGGTGCAATATACATGTACATGTACATGTACATTGCACCTGCACCCTTACAGCATAGTAGTTTTTCTGTTCTTAAAACTTAGAACCCTACAACTCTGACTCTGTATAACGCAATTTTTTTACCACAATCCTTATAAATGTGCCATTATTTGAAAGAGCCTTATTTTAATTTTTTTACTGCTTTTTACAGATTTAAATGCCATTTTGGACTGTGAGCTAATTCAAAACTTTATGGCTTGTTATTCAGAAGTAAATCTGAAGGTTAAGGTACAATGTACAGTGTACTGTACAAGTACATGCAGAAAACCTCAATGCTGCACGGATTGGTGCACAAAAACTGCTGGAGTTTTGACATTTTGCTGTCCTAAATTGCCTTCCCGTTGGTGATTCATTGTTTTGTGAGAGCATGACGATAAGCCGATGATCAACCCTTCTTAGAGTTTTCATTTGGGGTTCCCAGTTGGGACAGAAAATCTGATCATCTTCCCTGGCTTGACAGCACCAGTGCTCTTTGTCATCCGAAAAAACATAAATACTTTGCAACACACTTAGCCCAAGGAGGATGTCAAATTGGTCTTACACTGTGAAGGAGTATACAGCTACTGTAAGCAGACCGGGTATCTAAGAAAAACTTCATCGCCTGGACTGGACCCTTTAAATCTTAATTTGTCTTTGTGGGGGTCAGTGGTTGAATGCCGTCAAAGACACCTTTTCTTGTTACATGACAAAAGAAGCTGACTTTCCTGTCACTCTCTTTTGGCTTGTGTATCCATCCCAGTTTTCCTCCCTCCAAAATCTTTCCTTTTTAAATCAGGGGTTCAACTGGAATCATGAATGATGGTACCGGTACATTTGGAAGGGCTGTTCGGTAAAATGTGAGGCCACTGAGTTGTTTTTCGTTATGAGTTTATAAAACAGACAAAAAGTATATGATCATAAACTCATTTTGAGGGGAAAAAGGGGGACAATAATGCACATGAATTTATGAAACCAAATGATAATTTCTGTCATTTGCAATAAGCCAAAAAGCTAATAGTTATCTATATGCCCAACTTTTTAAGACAAAATCAGAAGAAAAATAAGAATCCACCGGAAATTAGACCAGCTTTAGTACTTCATTCTTTATGCACTTTTACACACATAACATGTACTAGTACATGTATGTGTACATTACATCCCATGTTACAGTGCGAGCACTGCAGTCCTAGCCAAACTCTGTGCCTAGGCTCTACTGTTTCACAATTCACCTTTGCCACATGCCAAAAAAGCACTAACTAATAATGCACTTACAAGTGTAAACTCCATGTGTTCAGGAATACAATTAAGCTTACTACAGGGCAGAAAAAGACTTTTCAAATGTTAATCTGTTTGGTCCTACTGTGGACCCTGGCATTGAAAAACAAAGACTCACATGTAAATAGACCTTTCTGAAATATTTAACTCTGTGAATTCTCTCAGCAAATCCCAGGTGTTTTTATTTCCACTCCAATTCCATCTGCCTCAAGATGACAGCACCCAACTTAAACAGGTGTTAGGGTTTGTAAAAAATCAATTTAATAATCTGGCACTTCATTCAGAGGGGAAATAGTTCTCAGCCACAATTCCCTTCAAAGTTAAACTGATTTGACAGGGCTGAGTGTAAAAAAAAGGACTTATTTTATGAAAAAGTATTCCCTGATTGATTGGAATCGGTATGTTACATGAAGTTTGGTGTGGAAGTGTGCCAGGTAAGCTGAGATGAAGCTGATTTGATTTTACGGGATGCCTACAGGTAGCCCTGCTTACACGTACATGTACAGTACATGTACCGGGGTATGCATGGCACAGGGGACCAGGAATTTACTGGTACCGTCATGTTAGCTGTGCTTCCCCATTGGTTTTACACTAAATTGCTATGCCTTGGGCACTCCGCGGCCTAATGCATTCTTTACATCAGTGCAGAGGCTATATTGGGATTGAGACCAGAGAGCGATTCCTGTTTTAAAATAAAAATCAATGCCCATTTTGAGATTGGGACGGACCTTTTGTTCTGTCGATTTTGGACTGCAAACAGGAATAGCATGTACGGTATGTGTGTCGTACATGTACATGTGTAGGACACAAGTAAACACTGTTATCGCTGTGCTCGTAGGGGATCACCAACACAGCATTTTACCGTCCGTCACTAAGCTGGATGAAACAGCCAAGCGGCCGGCACAAGAGTCCTTAAAAATCCCAGAAAAAACATCAGTCACTATGAAAATTTCTTATTTTTACCTGAAAGAATAAAAAAAATTGAAATCACTCAGGAACAAAAATGGACTGAAAAAAAAAAGCGATCTGGAATCCCCTTAAGCGGGCCCCTGGATCTCTGAATGTGACCCGTGAGACTCCGGTCAGTCGCCATTACCACATGTTCATGTAAACTGTCCTACACTAAAATATGACTGGCTGAAACACTGCATGTACATGTAATTGTAAAGGGCTCTACTGTGTCATTCAAACTACATACATGTACATGCAAACCTGTATGCAGTATAACTGCAATGAATTATGAATTACTGCAATGACTTCGAGTCAGTATTCTTCTTCAATGTATTACAACTTTTTTACTTTCCCATTTGGTTGAAAGCATATATGTGCATACATGTACTTTTAGACAATCAAAATTATCCATGCAATCCTTGACAACTGAGGGTGCTGTTGCTGTGACATCATCAAGGGAAGACATGGTTTAGTACACAGGTGTTTCTGCTCAAATTGTGAACCCAGGATTAACTTACTGAAAACATGTCTGAGAAAGGGGTTGATGCTTTGCACATAAACAATGAATCTGCAAAGAAGAGATAAATGAGTCTAGGAAAATCTACAAAAATGCAGCATTATTTTGGGCACAAACCGATGTAACATTGAGGCTTCTTCTTCAGATCGCATCACAGTTTTGCTCATGAATATGGAAATACTCATTAGCATGAAACCCAAAAGGGCAGAAAAATACCCTTTGAAATAGTGACACAAAAGTTGAAAATAAAGTTAACTGAGACACAAAGGTGCATTTTAAAGGTTTTTATTTGAAATGAGTGCAGCAACCCTTTAATCCACAAATCTACAATGTTGAAACTTGCAGAACTTCATAACCATAGGGGAAACAGCTAGTACTCACTCGGTTGGCCTCTTTTATTGAGTTATCCTGCCAGGGTTAATTTGTATTTGAGCATGACCTGTTTGATAAGTACAGGTACACAATGCATGGAGACAGAGATCTGACAAGCCTTTGCAAGTCTACTGTATACTCCCCGCTTCCAGGTAAATCCATTCTATAGTATGGCATTCACAGTCAAAACTAATCCCTCCAAACCTGAAAACCATCAGAGCAAATCTGAAGTTCCATGTTAGGAGTAAGCCCAACCCCCCTTCATCCAACAAAGTTCTCTGAGCGGTTTGGAGGTTTTGAGAAGATCAAGGAGGAATGGCATGAAAGCTGATTATGAAGGATGCATTGTGTGAAGGTTGTGGGTTAGACCTCGCCTTGTTTATGCTCACTTACGTATAAATTCATGCCTTGATTAAACACTGGAAATCATCCACACTACTCCAGGATAACATTCCCACTGCATAATGGCATGAATTACCCGAGGATTTTTGAAAGATTGAGGAAGTGGCCAATCCTCCGGGGAGTATATTCAAGAAATAACAGAGGGTTTGGAAGGATTGGCAAACAAAAGTCACCCTCTTCCCCATTTTTCTACCTTCAAGAAAAGGAAATAATCTCTTTTCAATTTCAGCAAAGTATTGCCTAAATGTGTGAAAGTTTAGTTAGAAAAATCTTAATTAACAGCACATAAATGAGGAATGTACATGTACATTTACCTAAACAGGTTCACTTAATTAATGATGACATTTCTTTTCACAGGGGTGAGCAGATTGGAAATCAACCTGTGAATTGCTGTAGAGGTTGCTGGGAAACATTCCCATCTCAAGAGCTCAATGAATCAGCAGGCTTGGCTTGATCTGGGGGTGTGGGGATGCACTTCACCCACTCTTCAGTCAGTGTTTGTTTAAAATCCTGGGGGTGGCTCAAGTGTTTGTAAACAAACAGGCTGTGCTCCTAATCTACAAATAATTCACCACAAACATGGTCAGACAGGTCACCAGACTGGGGCATTTGTCTGAGTTCTCTTGCAGATGGATTCTAGGGAAAAACACTGCCAGGACAAGACAGGAAATTTTTTTTCCTGAGGAACTGAAGGAGTAAGCTCACTCCATTTTACTCAATTTTGTAGTAATCTTTTCTCTTCTCCAAGAAATACACATATCGCGATAAATTCTTCATGTGTACGT